ACATCTAATTATTTATCAATTACATAAATATTACATCATTAATTATTTAATTAACCAAAAAAATTACATCTTTATTAATAACAAATTAATTCTTAAACAAAACTATTAAATATAAACTAGGCAAATGTGCATTGCACGTTACTTGCACCTAGTACATAATAATTTATCAATAGATAATATGGCAAGAGTAAATTTAATTAAAATCTTTTCAATCGAGTAACTTCCTGACTTGTATTTTGACACATCATCATTATACGCATTTTTCAAGACTCACTAAAGTGATAAATATTGCCCTCAAATTGTGATCACAAACTAAGCTTTAGCTTAATGACACAAGACATTATTATTCGTTCAATTTTATTTTTTTTTATACCCAAGTTTCCCAGCTTACACCAAACTATGTCCTGGACCACCTATCCCCAGCCCCTCAGCGATGGGTGGAAGTTAATCGCGGTATATGCCCAAGTTGACCAAGGTCCGTGTACCCTTTATACTCCTGACCCCAAAAGAACCTTCCTTCATGGATATTACATCACCAAACTGCTCCTCCTAAATTGAGTATTACAACACTCAGCTGCTACATCCANCGAACTCCCCACCCTGAGATTGCAAGCCCAGCAATGCCAATCCTTTGCCAACTCGAATATGCCCCGGGGGGCTATTATTCGTTCAATTTTATCTTTATTTGTTCTTGTTGAAGAGTAGTCTTTAAATTATTCTGTTTGCAACAAGTATTATCATCAAACTAATTGTAACAATTACGTGTAAAATCTTTAAAAGCGCGTTTACTCTATTCAAACTTGATTGCTTACTCACAGTGAATAGGATAAACTTTGTTCATATCAGATTTGGCAACACCACATCAATGGGTCAAACCGCATTTTTTGGCAAATAAAAAAAAAAGAGGTTTCATCCGTCGACGTTGCAACGTCACATCGACGAGTGAACGACATAGCTCATCCACTATGGACAGAAGATCAATTCTATTACTCTATTATCATGTCTTGCCCCCACTTGATCAAAACAAGATGAAATGGCTCCTTACTCACCACATCCTTCGGTATGCATAATATTTGCCGCTCCACTTAGATTTAGCCAAAATGTAGATTTTGATAAAAACTGATTAAATGTGTGGTCGGGAAATTAATAAAAATTATAAATCCATATAATTAGCTTAATTTTTTATCAATTGTTTAGAAATCTAACAAAGACTAAATGTAATAGACACGCCATCAAAAATCACTTTCAAAATCTCGTAATGAGAGAGTTCTAAGTAATTATAAACCCACTAAACAAGTCTTAGAGCTTGTTTGAAAGAGATTTTTTTGGAAAAAATTGATTTTGATTAGTGATATAATGGAAAATGTGTGGTTAAAAAAAGAAGAAAAAATTATTGATGTGATAGAAAATATTATTTTATTGGAGAATGTGTTGTTGAAAATAGGAATTGATTTTGTAGAAAAATCTATATCCCTCCAAAGAGGGCCTTTTTCTAATTGTTTTTAGTGTGTGTTTTGTTGGGATTTTTTGGGGGAAGAATTGATTTTGAATAGTGATATGATGGGAAATGTGTGGTTGAAAAAGAAGAAAAAATTATTGATGTGATGGTAAATATTATTTTATTGAAGAATGTGTGGTTGAAAATGAGAATTGATTTACTGTAGAAAAATCTAATCCCTCTCAAACAGGGCCTTAGTTTTAACTGTGCAGTGTAAAAAAACATAATAAAATTTATTTATTGACAATCATTGCTAAAAGAATATAAGTTAAAGATTCCGATTCAAAAATTCATGTGGATTTTCGCCAACTTATTTTGTGAAAAGCAAAAGTAGAAAAGAATCTCAGTGCATTAAAAGATAGATTTGCTTTGTGGGTGGGGGGATTATGATTATTAATCTTGCTTTTTATATGACAATTTGAAAATTTTATAGTTAATCATCCGAAAAAAGGGATATATTTGAAAATAACTTGATAGAAAAGGACAGCAAGTAATCACTTTGGATTTTCCTTTTTTCTCCATGGATAGTACAAAGATTATGTCCAACCTTGTGAGCCTGTTGGAAAAATGGTATGCTCAAATGGACAACCAACTTCCTTATGTTGGAATATTTACCAGAATGCGAGACGCCACCTCGAACATCAAATTGAAGCAAAAATCCAAGAACTCGAACCGTAGATATAGAAAATCCTGGAAATGGGACTCGAACAAGTTGAAAATAACGTTGAAAGTGATATTTGCTCCCTCTTGGCTTATCAGATACTTTCGGGCCTCCTCGCAAGTAGGTTCAGTGGATTAATCAAGTCTTAACCGAGTTTGCATAAAGCACAACGAAAACCCGGGGAAAGGAATTGGAAACTCTGAATTTTGTTTTAAACAAAAATGATGTGGATGTAAAAATGAATAATCTCTTGTTGTATATCATTAATCTCCTCTCCACATATCACTTTCAACATCTACTTATAGAGATATAACAGTTCAACCACAAAGGGACGCAACTGTGGACGAAAAGACACTTCCTACAAGAAACTGAAATACGCGCCTATATTTCAATCGACAAGTTAGAATTGATCTCCTATTCTTAGTGGTGGGCACGATAAAAACTTCTCACTTCTGATGTGGCAACAATTATTCTAGTCAAGTCTATCATATCAATCATACCCTGCTTCTGTCAAACTCGATTCAGATTTTCACAAAGAATCCCAAGTTTAACTACAATATCTTGAAGGCATTCCAACTCTTGCAGCATGGCTAACTTCAGTAGAAGTGTCAATTCTTACTGCAAGACTAAAAAAATAGGTTATACCGACTATTTTAGCAATAAAGGACAAAGAATAAAGGAGCAGAGAAATCGAAAAAAATTGTTTATACCAAGTAACAGGAGGACTAAAAGAAAAGATTCATATACCCTCACTGAGTTTAAAGAGATTAGACGGGGACACTAATTGCTTCCCTCTGCCCATAGTGAAACCTCGGGTTCCATCTGGCATTCTTGGCCCTTTAGCAGTCTGTCTCGAAGATACTTCACCTATGAAGGAGCTGCCCAAATGAGAAGATGGAATAGGAAGGCTGCGCATGCTGTGAAATTGAGTCCGTTGCCTAGATTTCCCTTGACCTCTAGCCCAAGTTTGCTTCGACCCAACCGAAGTTTCTTTAATCTACACGAGGGAAAAAAAAACTCTTTAATTTTTTGTTTCCAAACATGTTTATATGTTACTGCTCTTGCTTACGTTAAAATAAAAAAGGTTACTTGAAGCTGTAAAAAGAAAAATGTGCTTTTAAGCTTAGCCGAACATGCTATTATATTTACTTACAAGTAAACTCAGTTAAAATTAGACCTTTTAAGCATAGTAACAGATGATCGAAGATCACATTCAGTTTTCGGTTGCACCTTAACAAAACTGTCACTTAGTTCATACAAAGAAACTAGTACTTCTGCCTCTTTGTAGGATGAATGACAAGAATACCATTTTCCTTTCAAGGAATATACTTAAACTTGTCAATAGTATGAATGAGATAAAAGTAAGATACGCATACCATTTTGAAAAAAAAAAATGGTAGGCTGGTAGCACTAGCATAGAAATTACCTCAACTGATCCCGAGGTATTTTGACGAGGGGAATCTTTTTGTAGTTCAAGGACCGGTCCTTCTTCATCATCTGAATAGCCATCGAAATCTGACTTCCTATTCTTGAGCACGGACTTCGGCTGCATTCACATTAACCTCAACAAAAGTAAATGTCTTCGGTACAAAAGCATAGAGAAACAGATATATCTCAAAAAATAAGAGGTTTTAGTTTGATTTATCCTACCGAACGCCTAAGCAGGCATCTCACACGCAAGCCTTTTCTCCAATTTCTTTCATTGTTTAATTTCTCCGCCTGAAGAGGTTCAATAAATGCTGCAATATCAGGAAAGGGAAAAAGAAATCTAGCAAAAAAAAGACGAGAAAGGGTGACAATGTTTACTGCTTTCTCTGCTGTTTCGGCGTTCTCGTACTCTACTAGTGCATGGAGCTTCAAAAGAAAAGGCAAGGATAAGGGAAACATTAATAAGCACAAACTGGCAAATGAAAGAAAATATCAAATATGGTAAAGTTCTCCATACCTTATGACTGATGATAAAATCGCTTTTAGATTGGGAAGAATTAGGTTCCTGCGGTTGGCATATTCTGATTGTTTTGACACTGAAAATAAGCATATACATTCCATAAGTGTACAATTGTATGCAAGATAACAGAAATCAAACAGGGGATTATGACGCTACCTTCCGACCACATTAAATATTTTTTCAATGTTCTGATGCGAGTGATCATCAGGTAGATTTTCAGCTACAACAGTGCGCAACTGCACAACGGATCATAAAGAGTTGATAAAATGAGCAAGTTTTCAATTTATTTAACCCGAGAAAGGCGTGTATATACCTGCAGCTCCTCTTTGTCTTTATCCGTGAACCGGTTTTTACGTTTTACCTTCTTGCTATCATTGCTCACAATCTGCACAACATGGTTGTAAGTGCAGAATGTTCATCCAAAAGAAGAGATTAGAAAATGAATGCATCTCTTTTCTTCACAAGAACGGATAATACAAAGTGCTAACCAGCTTTGAAGAGGATAGAAGAGCTCGTGCCACCAATTGATGACTAATGTTGAGGGATTTGAGTTTCTTTGTAGATGCAACAACAGCTATTGGAACTGTGAAAATGCCAAGATTCAAGGACGGAATTAGAAATCAGAAGGCATAATAATCAACGCTGCAAGTTCAATTTTATGCTGTTTCAAGATCCTCACCAAAGCCTTCGGGATCTTTATTCACTTGTTTCACCAGGGCTTCATTAGCTAACATGCTTATGTCACTAAATTGGTATTCTACCTGTAACACAACCGGAATTTCAAAATCAATGTCCAAAACAATACCTCCTCGAAAAGAAGTAATTCAGATCTAAAACATTTCTTGTTACTTTCAATCGAGGAAATATCTTGACACGCCCATCAGGTGGTCAGCGTTCTATGTCGATTACTGTGTCTTGCATAAATCTAGATCCACTACAGGAAATTTTAGTTCAGACCAAGTTTACACAACATCAGCATTTGAGTCAATCCTAAGATGAGTCAAAAAGCCAATCCTATGATAATTGATAGCAACATTTAAGAAAATGAAGAATAACAACAAACAGAAGCACAATAAGAAATTAAGAATACCCTATACATTATTCAATCATGGTTCAAAGTTTGGCACGGGTCTTTATTTTACAAGATACGGTATATAAAAATGAATCAAGGATACGAGTCAATACTCAGATAAGCTGAATGCTGCATTCCTAAAATAATAGATAGCAACATTTAAGAAAATGAAGAATAACAACAGACCAAACCACGCTAAGAATTCACAGCTCAAATTTTTGACACGCGTCCTTATTTTACAAGATATGATATATAAAAACGAATAAAGGATATGAGTCAAAATGCCACGATCCTATGATCATTGATTACAACATTTCAGAAAATGAAGAATAACGACAAACCGGAGCACAATAAGAATACGCTAGTTGTCATTCAATTAGCCAATCAAAGTTTTGACACGCGTCTTTATTTTACAAGATATGGTGCACAAAAACAAACAATTTCGTGACTACAAACTTGTTCAAAACATGATAGAACTTCCCCGCTAAACTTTAATGCAAACATATTTCTTCTCCTAGATATGTCAAAGTGGATTCATCATTTGATGCAACGAATGCTCATTTTTCCAATCTGCTCCAGTCGAATCCAACATATCAAACATATTAACTACTGACCAAAATTATATATCAATCAAAAAATAAATAACAAAGATTAAAAGAAACCCCAAAGAAGTACCTGTTTAATGATCTTTTGCCTAATCTCATCAGAAAGAACATCCTTGGAATGATGATGTGACTGACCCGAATGGCCCTTCACATTCGCATTTGGAGTGACCAAATGTGGGATCGTTTCTTGATCAGAAACGTAAATCCATTTCCCACCACTCCCATCAATGTATTGAATTAAAGGGTAAATATACCCGGATATCGGCACCTGGGTCGAGGCCTGAGATTTGGGCATAAACTCCGGCGCCGCCGCATTGAATTTGAAAGAGCCGCTTGTTGTACTTTCATTTTTTTTCTCCTCCTCTTTGATACCACCATCATCTTTTTTTTCTGAAGGATTAACCTGCGCCATTTTTCCACAATAAAAAAATGTAAGAAAAAACAAAAAATATATGTTTGAAATCTGTTTTTCTCCAGTCCCTTGTGGGGATTAAAATTGTTTGTGGATTTTCTCAGATGGGTTGTGGATGAAAGAATGGTGTTGGAACTGAGAAATCGGAGGTTTTTATCCTGTAAAAATGGGATTTTATTGGATCGAATGAACAATCCATATTCGGTGCAAAAGAGTGATTGATGATAATTCATGACTTTCTTCCACACAAACGTCGCTTAGATGCTTTGACCAAATCCTATATTTATTTTGAGGATTGGAGAAAACGTTGTACAAATGTCGGTTCCATGTGCATGCATATTATGGCTATCTGCAGAGGGGGGGGAAGACATTTGAATTTTCGTGTATTTTTCTGGTTCAGGAAAAAATAACTCGATTTGAAATACATCAATTTATTGTATATTGGGATATTTGTTGACGTCGAAATTTGCAAAATTATTTATCCCTTCAACTAATGTCTTAGTCGAGGATGTAGCCGTTGATTTCGGCAATAAAGCCAGATTTTCGTGTACGTGGTGAAAAAAATTGATCGGACAAAATATATATACGTGTTATGCATATATTTTTAAAAAATCAATATTTTTACATGAATTTTAAAAAATTTACAAAATGTTACCTGGCGATCGCCACCTCCGCTCCCTTCGCCATTGGTTGATTTCCTTTGGTAGTCAAGCTAGTTTATTTTGGTAAAAATCTAAGGCTGTGTTTGACAGGCCTTATTTTCCATGGAAAATGGAAAATGATTTCCTTTCCCACCCAAAATGACTTGTTTGATAGCTTTTTTTCTAGGCAAAATTTTTTCCAACCTACAACCTCACGCGCCTAATTTCTTGGTTTTGGAGGAAATGATTTTCCCACCTTTTTGGTGGGAATTTATTTTTCAGTTCACGTTTTTTTTTTTTCAATTTTTTTTTTTTTGACAATGGAAACAAATGTCATAACCAATCAGGGGCGGATCCAGACCATTTGTCTTGTGGGGTCAAAAATGAGAATTCAAAAATATTTTGAACTACATATCATTAATGAGAATAAGTCAATACGCTATTACAATTGTAGCATATGTATCTGATTCTTCCCGACCATCTTTTTCTTTTTGAACACTCATTTCAACAATAATTTCCTCCACACTCGATCATACGGATTTTTGTTTAAAATATTTATCCATGTCTGTTAAAAAACAAATTCAATACATAAATAAACAAATAAATACCATATTTCATTTGAACCTTACATTGTTGAATACACTTCA